GTATACACACTCTAAGGGCAAACTCAGAGTTGGTGTATGTGGGTGCAACTCCATTGACTTCAATGAAGTTATACCATGTCTGAATATGGCTTAAAATCGCTATTCAGCAGTACTGGCAATTTTCTTGTAATCTGTGCTCTAGCTTTATTAATGTACAGACCGCTCTTTCTTGGAGCCTTAGACCAATACTCCTGGCCTAATCAAAGGAGAGGAAACATTATTAATCCTATTCCTATAAGTGCACTGAATACTAAAGGCTATAGTTATACACAGGGAAAAATGCCTCCCAGACTGTGTAATATTCTGTAGCACTGCTATAAACCATACTGAATTCCTTGTGAAAAAAGAATGCTGAAGTCATTATAATTATCTGATCAATTTTCATTACTGCCATGCTGTCCTCTTCCTTCTTAAAGACTTTAAGGGCTTACTTCTCATTTACACTAGGGCTACTTGACACTGCTCTAGCAGCATAAAGTGGCCATAAAGTGGGAGTAAATTTTGTTTATGCCCACTTTAAGGACACTTTACAGTCTCATGGTTCATCTACACTAGTAAAAGAGGTGTATTTTTCAGCATGTGGTGCTAATGTGGACAAAATGCTTGACAGTTTTCATGTCAGCAGGTCAAAGTGAACACTAGGGGGAGCTTAGGGTGATATAAAGGAGCAGTAAAGTAAGTGAGAATCAGGACATCAAAGTCTCAAAACAATTAACATTATCTTTATCCTCTGAAAGTAACCAACATGTTCTCTCTGTTTGGAACTGCTTCAAAAAACAGTGATAGAATCTAAATGCCACGCTAAACTCCCAGAGCAGAACTATATTCAAACTTTTTCTCATTGTTACTGTAGTTGGAAATAGCATACGAAATGCCCGTGGAAAATATAATCTTGTCTGGACGTGACCCTTTGCGAGAGGCTTCTATATGCAAGATCCAGTAGCTGATCTAGAAACTTGCATTGGGATCCTGGGTGGGATGGGGGTAGCAGTATGCACATAAACATTATGTAAATGAGCTATGAAAATTAACTGAGTTTAAGTAGCACAGCATGATACCTAACACTAACATCTAATTAATGCAAAGATTAATTAAATTCATGCACTAAGATTTCATTAGTGTGCTGTTTACTCCCTCTTTTTAGATCATTAACGAAGGTGTTAAATGAGGATTGGCCTAACACTGATCCCCTGCAGTACCCAACTAGATACACTCCAGTTTAACATTAGCCTTTGCTTATGGTCGTTTAGCCAGTTTTCGTTACACATGAGAGCGTTCTTAACACTTACAATGTTAACAAGTATTACAGATTATTAGCAATAAAAATGATAAACAAATCAATGTTTTAAGCTGGAAACTCACTGAGATGGAGATTTTAGTTCCCTGTGCCACTCTTAAGAGTCCGGTTAACATCCTGTTTTTCAATGGTTGATTGCCAAAATTACTGTACATAACCATCTGCAATATTAAAAATATTAGAGTTTTGGCCTGATCATAAAAGTGTCCATTGTATTAAGATGATGGCAGTTTCTCAAAGAGGCAGACAAAGTTCCACCCAGCAAGCCTTTAATCTATTTTATATTTACACAGAACTTGCCATTCTTCAGTATGTCAGAACAAAAAAAGGATTGTGATCTCCCATGCCTCGAGTTGGCAAAAAAAGAAAAATGAAATGCCACTATAGACCACTCTGTTCTACTGCAGTTACACAGAAGTGATGAAAAATAATAATTAAAAAAAAAACACCCTACAACAGGCAGGGGTTTACTATAGTTACATGCTGCAGAGTTTGCATGTTAGGTGGCTCTTTTTCTGCAAGATAACATAGTTTCTCCCCCAAGACTTGGGTTTTGAATGCAATCCAAATCCTCAATCTGATTTTACATGACTGTGGTCTAATTCTGATTTGTATTTGTCACCACTTTCAGTAGCAGACATTAATTCAGCAGTTTTGCTTGGAGACTGGAGAGGGAGATTAAAAGGACTAAATCTGTCAAAGGTAAAAGTACCTGCAGCTGTCTGAGATAATCATAATATTCAAGTGTTGAGATTAAATAGCAGATGATGGTTACAACCGATGGAAAGAGCATACAGTGGTTGCCAGTGAAATCTTTGCATTGTAAACTTCTCCAACAAACACTTCGTCACTTTCTTCCATTCTGCCTCCTTATGCATGGAAAAAGTGCCCTCCTGGAACTAATTAGTAAGGTCACTACCCTTCCAAATCCCTCATTAAGACCCACTTCTCCTGCAATACCTACAAGACTCCATGCCACTAACGGCATGTTACATTGGGTAAAGTCAGGATAAATGTAAGTTGTGCACATCACTAGTCTATGAACACCAAATGATGATCTTACTGTTACCTTCATCCCTTCTTCCCTCCTATTGTTTGTTATGCTCACTTTTTGCATCTTGCTTCAAATTAGAATGTAAACTCTTTGGGACTGGGACCATGTTTCTAAAGCAATGGGCCTCCGATCCTGATTGGAGCTATTGTAACATCCACTGTACAAATGAATAATAATAATCCATTTACAACTCTGTAGGGGAAAACTAATATGTGAAGTGCACCGGGAAAGAGCCTATGCAGATCACGAGGACAGGTGAAATGTGCTGTCTGTGAGAAATGGCACTAAAAAAGTAAGCAGTTGTACTTTGTATAACTGTACTTTCCAAACGATTAAGATGTTGCCCCATGGAATCCAAATTGGAGCTAACAAATACATGAATTACTGTTTCTGGGGGGCCATATGCAAAGAAGAAGATTGTAAACTGTTGACCTGGAGGGCAGGGATCAGCATTCGTGTCGCATTCCCTGTCAATACCCGGCCTGGCATAGGCTAGCTAATGATCCAACCAGCGGACCAAATTCAGTGATGAATCCTGGTCACAAGACACGTTGTGAATACGCTAAGAAGACTGGTTTCAGAGTAGCAGCCGTGTTAGTCTGTATCCGCAAAAATAACAGGAGTACTTGTGGCACCTTAGAGACTAACAAATTTATTAGAGCATAAGCTTTCGTGGGCTACAACCCACTTCTTCGGATGCATAT